AGGGTTTAGGGTTTAGGGAGTCTCAGTGGTCCAGTGTCTATTTTTGGCAAGACATTTGCCACTGAACAGTAGGTCGACAGTTGAATCTTGGTCTTCAGGTCAGTAGGTGCAAGGTCCCTAAACCCTTAAACCCTAAAACCCTCAAGGTCCTCGGTAGACCGGGACGGAGAGCGAGTCGGGATTGAGCCTTACCCCTGTCGGGTGATGGATAGGCGATGACAACAGCAAGCCTAAGGTCAACCATGTGGGTGGTTGTCAAAATTATGGTCCCTTTTTGGGTCCTGCAGAATGAGTGGGTCTTATTACTGTTGCTGATATGGGAGTTTCCAAAAATTAGGGTATCTTACTTTGGGGCCCTTATTATAAGGATCCTACTATCAGGGTACTATATTAGGGTCCCCTATTTTCGGAAACTCCCATGTAAGTATGTACACATGCAAAAATCTAAGCAACGATGCAAGGATAGCGCGCATTTAAAAATGTACCGGCATGCATGCGTGTGTGAATGCATACATCTCCGGATACATGTGCATTTTCACATTCATATACGTAGGGGTATGCACCTACATGTACACATACATGTACATATACATTTTAGATGTTCACATACATACACAAACTTACTTCCACATACAGAACACAAACATCTGCATACATCATATACATGCATGCATACAAAGGTGCTTACAGATATGTGATATGCGCATATGTATGTGTGTATATAAACATACATGTATGAACCAGTAAATATGCACATGCGTACAAGTCTTATACGATGTCTATTCATGTTCGGGTTGCAGATCTGCCAGGACATGCGATTGGCAAAGGATTCGAGCCCCAAGGTGTGCAAAAGTGCACCAGCAAGCAGAGTCTCAGCACGTCGTCATCCTGCAACGATCCACTCCGAGACTGCGAAACCTAAACCCAGCTCAAACCCGGCCCACCCACTCCAAACCCCTCAGAACGGCTGAAGACAGCCTTAGATAGCCAATGGGAGAACTTTAAACTTTTTGGCTTTATATATTAAGTCTATCCTAAAAAGTTTGAACCTTGATGGGCCTGGTTGTTGAAGAAGAGAGCAGCAAACTGCAAAGGAGCTGGTCGACAACATCAATGCTCAACTCGCAGGCCACGAATGCGCAAACCTCCCAAGCAGGTTGCTGAGCGTCTCTGAAATTATCCCACATTCCTACTTCAGCTTGACTATGATATGCTGGATAGATCGGTGCATCGATGTTTCGACATTTTCCGAACGCGTGGCCCTTGCAGGATCAATCAATCAATTCAGAGGCTGAAGGTAATTGTTGCCTTTGAGATGAAGGCTGACCTTGCAGAGTTTCTCGTGTACGCGCAGGGTTCACAATGTAGCACGCACGAATCGTAATCTCCATCGTGATGACAGCATCAGTTCCACATTACCTCTTTAGCTTGGGCAACAGCCACGGCAAGAACAGCGACAATTACAGCAACTACAGTTGCTGCTGATACTGCTCCGACGACGAAGATGACCCGGAGGAAGACTTCGACGTGCCGACGATGACGACTGCTGCCCATAGGGCGATGAGCACTGCTAGGTATAATTACTGCTGCTGCCCTAAACCCTAAACCCTAAACCCTAAACTACCGCCATCTTCCCAGTCCCGACAGAGAGATTTGGGTACTATCAGGGTTCCCCTTTCAAGGTACTTTAAGGGTACTAGGGTGCCCCTTTTAAGGTACTATGTTATAGTACCTTCAAAGGGGAACCCTTATAGCACCCTTATAACAAGGGTACTATACAGCTTTCCTTTAGAGGGTTTGCATGGTTTCGGATCTTCTTGTGGTAGGTCGCCTCTTCGTGGATCCTCAGTTCCCGGCGAACAGCAGCACCATCGGCACGCGCGCCGTGCGCGAGGCCAGTTAACCATAACAACAATAATAGTTGTAATAAGAATAATAGACAATACTAGTAGTTATATTAAAAATAGCAATACGGACAGTAATAATGACAGTGTAGAGCAATGTCGCGATGCAGAAGAGAGCAACGGGGCAATTCAAGGAAGCAGTGCTTTCGATCTCCTTGTGTGAAAGTTTGCCTGCGGACATCGATTAGATTAACTCATCCTCGAGTCCTGGGTTGTTGCTGCTGAGAAGTGGGTTTCGAAGCACAAGGACCTGGAGAAACCAGTCAAAAGAAGCCCTAAACAGTGAGATATGTATTTTTGACACCCCCTTCAGCCACCACTTTCGAAAGCAAGTCCGGCTCTTAACTTCAGCACGCATCGAGGATGCTTCTGAGGTGTGCTCTGCTCGCTTTTGACCTGCTTCCAGCGTTTGTAGTTTGTATAAACAAAGCAAAACTACTGCTCAGCCAGGGAACAATAAAACAAGTCCCAATATTTTACACGTTCCCCCCTTGCCTCCAGATTCCTGGATGGGGCCGCCCACCAGCCGGGTCCGCCGGCTGCAACGAAGAATAAAAGAGATTCGATTTGCCTTTCAGTATGAGGTGTAATATAGGTGCCTCAATCACTGCATTATGGCATGAAATCACCCGAAAACTTATTTCTTCGCAGGTTGGCTCATCATGCAGAGTGGTCTTTCTTTGAACCCAGCCAAGGGCAACTGTCTCCGCAGGCCCTAAACCCTAAATCCCTGAACCCTAAACCCTAAACAATAAAACCCTAAAACCCTAAACCCCTAAACCACAAACCCTGGGGAGAAGTTCTGCCAACTTCAAGGCACTCGCTGGTCAAGGATGGCTTCGAGCCTCCGCTGCACAGCTGGCGGCCACAGATCTTCAATCAAGGAAGGGTTTAGGGTTTAGGGTTTAGGTGGAGTTTCGGGTTTAGGGTTTAGGATCGCTCCTTGCAGTACAGATTTGTCATTCGTGGACCGTTTCCAACCGCCTTGTCCCGTCGCACATGTTACGAAAGCAGCATGCATGGCAACCAACCAAAATGTCTTCGGATCCCGGAAGTCTGAGACCAGATGCACACTACGGCTGATGATATAAATCCTGCATTGCCTTAAGGACCCTAAACTATAAACTATGGGAATTATGGTATATTGCTTATTATGCATAATGCAGGGCTTATATCATCGACCGTAGTTTCTCAACTGGGGCGATTCTCTTCGGCACGCGAGTGGTGTAAGGAAATGGATGACATCAAGCAAGGAGGACTTGGCGACTGCTGGTTTATCAGTATCTGCGCCGTCGTGGCAGAATGGCCTGAGATTTTGCGAAAGATGTTCTACCCAGCCGCTTGGCACCGAATCGAATAAGATGCACAATCGGAGCGCACGCGCGCAGACACACACACACACATACACACATGCACCTTGTTTATTTTTCCATACATGTCTCGCACATCAGGTTCATCCACAGGTGTACCCTTAGCCCTGAACCCCGAGACACTGAAGGTAGAAAGCCCGTCTCCCTCCGGAGTCTACGCAGTTCGCGTCTACGATGGATCGCAATGGGTTTGGGCCACTTGGTGGAGAAGTCCTAGAGGCTTATACCTCAGTCCGAAGTACGGAGGGTTTGGTGGTCCATGTAGCATGGACCGTCGTACTAACTTAACTCCACAGGGAAGTTGCAAGATTGCATGTGCGCGGGTGTTGCAAGAGGGTTGTCACTTCGGCTTCGTCTCTGGCCTTTCTAAAATTACACCAGCTGATACTTGGCACAGACTGACAGCACGATGCGTTCGTGTGCGCAGGTGCTGGTGGATACATTGCTCCTGGGCTTTACCTTTGCAATATTCTCATGTTGACTCCCGCCTCCTGAATGCATTCATGCAGACACCTGCCGTCCAGAAGGTTTCCGATCTGTCATGACCGACGCCTGGCCTTTGCCTCCTGCTGCGATTCAGACGGTTGCTTGGTTCATCCTTATTCACAGAGAAACTCGCGCTTTTGACATGAGAGGTTGTGTAGGCCATGTTCCAGTGCTTGCCGGGCCCATTTGGGAGTTTCAGAAAATTTGGGTACCTTATTTTGGGGTCCTTATAATAGGGGGGACCCTATTAATTAGGGTACTATATTAGGGTCCCCTATTTTCGGAAACCCCCATTTGCAGCTCCTCGCAGATGAGTAGGCAACCATCCATCCTCAGATGTTGGTCTGGTTTGCCCTAGGCACAGAGGCCCTGACTTGGAGGATTTTTATTTGACCCTTTGAGATCCGTGGGTTCGGCAAAAGCACGTCGCAGCCATGCGTCGGAAGGGTTTTGTAGGGTTTGCGGATACATTGTGAGTCTTGTGAGTTGTTCTAGGAGCTATGTGTCAGCATTAACCAGTCAGGTCTAGAGGTGTGGCCCATGATTCTCGAGAAGGCCTGGGCGAAGCTACATGGATGCCCCTTGGCCACAGGGGTTTTTACTCACCATCACGATCAGCGCCGACCCTCATCTTCGTATCTCTGAACCAATACCTAAGCCAGACTTGAGCTTCAAGGTTATATGTCTAGGAGGTTTGTCATGACAGCACGGGATGTGTCCGTTCGTTTCTACCATCAATGATGCGAAGCCGGTTATGACAAAGAGTCATGCCAACATGCTGTCACTGTGCGTGTGTGTGTGTGTTTGTGTTTCTGTTCCAAGCTCTTCCGGCTTCAGGGAGCTGCAAGCACCGAGTGAACTAGCACACCCGCAATTCCGGCGCGGCGCTGTGCCTAGGCTATGTACTCGCGAAGGGGCAAAGGTGGCAAAAGCGGAGGGAAGGCTTGGAAGAGTCCCAAGAGACAGGTTCAAGCACAAGCAGTGCCAAATACTGTCGGAGTCTTTTTGGGCGATGTGAAATATTTCATCGAGGATGTTCTCAAGATGTCCCTTCCAACAGGTGTGCACCACCTCTTGGAAATAGCTCTTGATCCACTGCAGGAGCCTGGCACAATCCTAAATGGAAGGCAGCAGCCGTCGAAAGGCTTGGACGCCGACGCCGAGAAGTTCTTCAAGCTATTACGGCCGTGCCCTTTTGTTTTCGTGGCCAGGTCGGACTCCGGTGAGGATCATCGTGAGATGCTTCGCCTCTTCAGACATCTGGAAAGCCTCACATTCCATGCTGCATGCAGCATCGAAGTCTTTGAATTTGCTGGTGCGGAGCCATGGGAGGCATGGCCGTATATTTTCGCGCATGTCATCCCAGCATATGTTCAAAACCTTGATCCTGCGTGGTTTGCACCACCAGACCAATGCGTACTGAGCGACAAAAACCCGCGCAGGCCACCCCCATCTTCTTCGTTCTGCCCGGTCCAAAGCATCAGAGTAGTGCCTGTCTGGAGCTGCAGCAGTGGCACTTACATCTTCCTCGTGAGGCCTCCGGACAGCCATGGACATGGTATTTGGACCACCGTCGGGGGAGGCGTGAAACGAGGCCGCGGCGGCGATCGAGATCTCCAACATGCCTCGCAGCGAGAGTGGGACGAGGAAGTGTTGGCCTGGCCTGCGGCAACTGCTTGGGAGCTAGGTGAGAAGGCCTTGCAATGGGTGGTCTGGAAAGCCAATTCGTGCGCCTGGCAGAACTGGAGCAACTGCAAGCCGCCGGAAGCCAGAGAGCGTAGTGATGGGTGGACTTCCACCGTCTGGCAGTTCGTGTTGGCTTCGTCATCGTTTCTCGAAGACACGGTTGCACAAGGCAGATCGTGCAAAGTTGTCCCGGATGATTTCGAGGTGGTGAGAAAGGGTGACCCTCAAGAGCATCTCGTCCGACATCACACAGAAGGCCTGCCTTATGTGGAGTTAGAAGCCGGGGCATGGTTCCGGCTAGACCTGGAAACAGGCACTTTGCATGCTCCTTTCCCAGGGGCGGAGGTGCGTGGGGACCTCGGGCACGACCTACTGAAGTCAAAGGAGTCCCCAGCACTGCGGGAGCAGCTTAGACGCAAACTTTCCGAATGGGACGCAGCCAACCCGGAGGGAGGCCGTGTATTACAATGCCCACATCTTGCATGCATCAGTCCGGAGGGCATGCGCAACAAGCTGGATATATACCGGGCCAACTTTGAGAGCCTTCAGCTATCATCGGAAGAAAGCACAGCCCGTTTGATCCGATGTGTCAGCACTGGCCTCGGAGCTGATGTGTACCACCAGTTCTATGCAGAAGAAATACAAGCACTGTTGGAACGGCGCGCAGATCCAACAGTGACAGTGGGCCTTTCAAGCCAAGCAACGTCGGTGTCACTTGGCCTTCAAGCAACTACATGTGTCTTAGTGCATTCGATCTAACGTTGTGTCAATTTCTCGACCCACTGCACCCAGCTCCTAATTAACTTTTAGACCAGCCCAGGTTAGATGCCGTTGTGAAGAACGACAACTTGCGAACATCCGTTAGAGAGCGGACCGAAGAATTTCTGCGGCGTGCACTGCAGTGAGCCGTCGCAGAATCATGCGTGAAAGGCCGCCAGGACAAGGAGACTGACGACAATATAGGGCTTGCAAATACAAAGGCTTGTTTCTTGTACACCCGCTTCTGCGCTCTGCTGCACCCGATTGAGGCGCTGCAAGTGTAAGACAAAATGCGCGGCCGCAAGCCACAATTCTAGCCCGACGGAATCTCCAGCCACTCGCACTTCCACACGCAAGCCTTGTACAGTGAGCACATTGGTTCTCGGTGTGGTCTGTTAGTTTTTCTCCATTAATTATTGACTTGGATCCGATCTTGGCGGTTGCTGCCATGCGGTAACATCTATATCTATATAGTCAAGTCAAATCATGTCCAATCCGGATCAATGTTGCCATGCCTTTTTCTCTGACAACTTACAGTGTCCGCGAGCCTCAAGACTTGGAGTACTCCGAACGCATTGGTCGACATACTTGCTGCTTGATTCGGTGTTTCATCTCCTGAAGCCGACGAGCCTTGGACTTGAAGCTGTTTGATCGTCAAGTCCTCAGTCATGAAATCTCTACGACCTCGGCATTTCGGCCGGCAAGACACAGAAAAGGCTACGAACCCTGAGCGGTTAATGCCCCTGCAAAGCCAAGCCCTTCAAAGCGAGTTCTTAAGCTGAACAGCTCCGACTTCTGGTCAGAGCCCGAGCCTTGAACGCCTGGAAAGCACGGGTTCTCCTCTCCCACAAGAACGCGCCCTGAAGTATTCTGGAATTGAGTACTACTGTTCTCAAGGCACTCAATGTACGAGCCCTCAAGGCTATTCTGACATGGTTGGCAGCGCACCAAGCTGCATCGGATCCATCCGCAGCCTGGAGTTGCTTGGACCTGCAAAGATGATCGAAAGAGTATCTGAGCCCCTCGATGCCAGATCCCATGTCCCCTGAACTGAATTCCGAACTCCTCATCCCAACACCCAAAATCATAGAGTTCGCTGGATTTTCAGAGTTGGGGTTTTTGGACCTTCGGGCTCGGTTCCGGCGATGTCATGAGGCAGCAGGGCTTACACCGGGTGGGAAGCCAGCACCCGCATGCACTGCAATTCGATTTTCCAGATTGAGGGCTTTAGGGTTGGGGTTTTACGATTTTGCGGTTTAGGGCTTGAGGGTTTTAGGGTATATAGCCTGGACATCATCACTGCTATCACGATGTCATCTGCCAATGGTGACCGCAACTGTGATGGAAGCAATGACGAAGACAACGTCCTTGGAGAACATGATTTGATTGCGAAGGAGGCCGCCGTCAAAGGCTTGGTCGCGGCAGCGCTCGCCGTTGTCCGGCGTTATCGTCACGCTTTGACGATGACTCCAGCAGTGGTTGCTCCTTGTGTTCTTGCTTCGTCAGCGCGAGTTCCACCACGTTTTCCTTACCGTTACCATAGTCATAATCATGATTGTCCCTCGAGCCCTAAACCCCTAAACCCCTAAACCCCAAACCCCTAAAGCCCAAACCCCTAAACCCCAAAACCCTAAACCGCTAAACCCTTAAACCCTAAACCCTAAAACCCTAAACCCTAAAGAGGACGGTTCTTACTGAAGATGCCACACACCCGCAGGCTGAAGGCCCTTGAGACTGCCCTGAAAACTTGTACTTCCCGCAGCCTGGGTTTAGGGTTTCTAGGTTTAAGGTTCAGGGTTTTGGGTTTTGGGTTTTGGGTTTAGGGCTTAGGGCGCAAAATCTCCACCAAACCCTCTCAGGCTCATCACCTCTGGCAGTGCTGGCTACTGCAGATTTGGCTCCTGGCTGTCCAGTTTAGGATTTCGGGAGTGAGCGGGGTGGCTCCTGGATCTGATGAAAGTTGAAGTCGAGTGCATAACTCCTAAGGGGTTCAACCTCAAACCGAGGTTCAACCTTGTAGCTCGCAACTCCCGAGACAGTAGTTGTTCAGGCATTCTGGTTAGATAGTCTAAAACCTGGATTGTCGGATATCACAAACAAAACCGGAGCTGTTTACGGGGAGACCTATAGGAGATTACCTTGTTTGCGTGGGTTTCAACTAGTGTTGTGTTGAGTGCACCTCATTCAAACTGAATAACGCTCTCAACGCCGAGTCCACTCAGTTGAATGCCACATGACCGAAACAGCCCGGCAAGCACTCGAGGAATCTCTGTGAGACTGCCAGACAAAAGATATGCGTCAGACCGAAACAACCGAACAAGAAGCAACGCTAATCGAGGAGAAATTCGCGAACGGGCCGGAGCATCATGAGCACTGGGCACAATAGTCGGGGTCCCAATGACAGTTCAGGCAGAGGCATCCATCTTGCTATATCTTGGCTGGGTTTTTGTTCACAAGTGGGTAGTTCTCTAAATTGAGACCCCTTTTCGAGTCCTTCTTATAAGGATACCGCCTTATGTCAGGTTCCTAGAAACGGTTGATGGACAAAATCCTGCATGACCTTATATACCTAAACTATGGGATTTATGGTACTATACTATATTTGGGTCATGCACAATTTTGTCCATCAACAGAAGGGACTCTAATTTGGAGAACTACCGAAATGTTTGCGGTGGGAGACGAGCTCAAGTTCTCAAACCGAGGCTCGTTCTTCAAGAAGTGCCTCGGCCAGCTTTAGAGATCATCTGAGTAGTTGTCAAAATTATGGTCCCTTTTGGGGTACCCTAAATAATACGTGCCGTATTATAATAAGGACCCAACAAGGGACCATAATTTTGACAACCACCCATCTGTTGACTTGGGAACATCTGTCTGTCACCGATACAGCAACGGTCCAGGAGCAAAGAGGTGGAGAACTACCTGATATACCATCAGTGGAAGGGACAGAGGTACAGCACACCTCACGGGATGAAGAGCCTCTTTGCAGACAGTGCGGCTTCGGTTTCTTAAGGCTAGGGCATCAGCGATGGGAGAGCGAGGTGTTTCGGCACAGGGAATGGCAGTTTCCCCCAGTAAGCATCGCTACATCTATCACAAGTGTCGCAAATGTTTCGTGTTCTCCTTCTTGTGGACTTGCTCTACTCCCGACGCGTCTGCGAACGAAGCAAACGTTGGAACTTCATGGCACGTTTGTCACGGTGCAGAATGTCTTGTGTTCGTAACTCTATAATATAGAGCCTCAAAAAACGACCTATCTTATTACTTAGGGTTCAGTTTCAGGTATTATAGTATAATAGTTTAGTAATTGTTTCCATTCGGATGGAGACTTGGCCTCGGGTTTGCATGTGCCCCAACTAGCGGCCCTAGCAGATGCATGGCGTCGGGGGGTTACGCTTATGTGCTTGTGTTGTTCGGTTGCTTGTTTGTTTGGTTGCGTGTTACTGTTCAATCATTTGATCGTTGGTTTGTTTTGCGTATGTGTACGGCTGTCTGTGAATACGATTCTCCTTGTTTTGCTGTTTTGTGCTTGGTGCGGGTGCTGCTTTTCATTAAGTCTCCTCCGGTGGGCAGTCTGTGAACAAGTTGCACCCGGAATCGACACTGATCTCACAGTTTCTCTATGAACGCCGTGACATCGGATGCACCACGGCTCACGAGGTGGAGCAAGTCAGTAGCGATAGCCTTTGCGAGCGGGTACAGCATCGTGGACGCTTGCGAAGCATGGGTGGCGAGTTCTTCCTTCGACTGCGCAAAGATCACAAGATCGAGCAGAAGACTTGGGAAGAGGCTCTGCGTCGTGTGGTGGACACCATAGGGGGCACTGCCGATACAGATCACCGTTTTGACGGGCCAGAATATGCTTTCGAGTTTGAGGACCCCGTTGAAAAGTGGGGAGGGGATCCACCGAGGCCCAAGACCTTCCGCTTGGCATGGCAGTGGGGGCCGAAGGCGATCCAATCCGAGCTGGGCGGGCGGCACCGCAGTGACTGGAGCACGGTGGCGAAAGTGTGCAAGATGCTTTGTGATCACTTTCCTGGCCAGCTCGCTCTTGTAGTGTGTGACGGTATGAGCGGATATGAGGATGTGGACATGTTCTACGATGGGACAACCAAGGCCTTTCGGAAGCTGGATTACAGCCGCTGGCCTTGGGCGCTTGAGTAAACACCTAAATGCATATGACATGACCTGGAATCTAGACTCTGTGGTAGATATCAGGGAGTGCGCTCTCCATGCAAAACAGGACGCAGATGCGCGAGACTGCACATGAAAAGACACAGCTCGTGTCCAGTGACCGTGCTTTTCCTGAAAGTCCCTACAACACTGATAACAGAAGAGCACATGGTCAGATCCGGAACCATAGCAAACTGTGCTTTGCCTCCCAAACTGCATACTTTCAGTAGGCTTTCCGTAACACTGTCACTACTCATCTCTGCAAGAGCACACGCGGTTTCAACAGGAACTGCAAGTTTCAAACAAATTTGCTCGCGTTCTGGTTCTGGAAGACTGGGGAACCCTATACTATTATAGCCGACAGCGGAATGTCACGTGCTCGCTGCAGTTAACCGCTAGTCAACCTCCACACATGTCGTTCCCGAGACCCGTGTAAGCAGAGGAAGATACATGTATGTATACATATATATATATATATTATGTATATGTATACATCTTATATATCTGTATATCTGTGTATACATATATATATATATATATATGTTTTTTCCTATGACTCAGTGTGCCCGGCTTTTGGCCCTGAAGCCTTGGGACTCCAACGTGCCAGGATCATCTGTGCATCCTGCCACTGCGAGAAGGATGGCACCGACCAGGGACTCGTCTCCAACCATGCCTACTCAGTGCTAGGCTGGGATAGGGAGGGATAGGGTTAAGGGTTTAGGGTTTAGGGTAGGGATACACGTGTGTTCGTTCTCTCCCTGTATGGAGTTTGGCTGCCGGGCGCTGTGTGTGGATTCAGGGCCTGTCATACCGCTAGAGGGGAAATGGGAGTGTGTCTGCTGCACGCCACATACTGCCGTGTGGGTACGATCGACGAAGTAACCCGACGACGTCAATGTTCGTGTGAACTTGAGAAGAATTCAGCTGGGAACAACATGTAGAGCTATCCGTGCAGAGCTTTAACTCGCCGACGAACCGATTCATCTCAAGTCTGTTGTGCTTCCACTGGCTTGAAGTATTCTGCTAGGCTTGTTTCCTTGCTTTCCTTTTTCCGTATCATCACAATTAGCACGAGCGTCTTGATTACAAAGCAAGACCTGTGATGCTTGTCGATTCGCTTCCATGTATTGAGACTGTATTGCGACCTATGGCTTGTATGGTTGTTTGGAGTGCATCCGCCAAGATGTCGTGCCTCTTCGAAGACTGAAGTCTCTCGAGAAGTCGCTTCAGGACTTTGTGAGACCATGCAGAGCCATTTCCTCTCTAATTGCGATACCTCGCTCTATAGTCATTACGCTTACAGTTTAAAGACTTGTTTGATTCTCGTCGCACGGTCGGCAGGTGTTTGCCACGTTCACAACTACTACGAAGATGCCAGTCAAATGGAAGAGGACAAAAGCTTCCGACAGGTGCGGCGCTGAGCTTGCGAATTATGCGTCTGTCTTTGGGTGAGGCCCTTCGGGCCCTCCCCACCCTTCTGGTTTCCTTGTCGGTTACAGGGATTACTTGGTGTCCTGTGTTCGCATCCCAATCCCCGTTTCTTCCCGCCGGGGAGGTCCTTGTACATCTACGGAATCCCTGGGGTTGGCAAGTGTGGAGGGGCAAGTGGTCCAATGTGGATGCTTGGCATGAATTGAGAAGGTTTAGGGTTTAGGGTTGAAGGTTTAGAAGAGACCAGCAAGGTTGATAAGCTGCTATGCTTCTGGCCCCAGTCAGCATGAACTTGAAGAGGTGACGGCATGGCATAAGTGGTTCGTGTTCCATTTGCGGGATGGTGCTTTGAAGATCACCCACCAACGACTTCTGCATCTTCAGGGTTTCAAACCTTGCGACCAAGATATCACACGATCAAGTCCCGCTACCGCCCACATCGTACTTGGACTATCCACACAAGTACTACCATGTGCTTTACCTACGACAGATAGCAGTTTCCGGTATCATCCAACAATACTGACCTCTGCATCGAGAGGTCCCTCCTGCCCAAACCCTAAACCCTAAACCCAAAACCCTAAACCCAAAACCCTAAACCCTAAACCCTGAACCGACACTTTTCCGTCTGCATGTTTCGGCCCCTGAGCCCTGAAACCTTGAACCTCATGCAGCCACACGAGCTCTCAACATCCAGGGTTTAGGGTTTAGGG